GGCATGACCTCCAATACTCAGCCTGTTGATGTTGGAGTGCCACAAGGAAATGTCCTAGGTTCTCTACTCTTTGGAAATATGAATACATATGCAGTATAAAGTAATCCTTTATTGACAACATTATACTACATATGTGTTTATATTTCCATTGTGTCAGTATTTTATACCATTTATTTCCATCCTCTACTCTTAACTCTAACTCCTTAAACCAGTTCTCTTCGCAGGTGACACCACTTACACCTTCTCCCACCCAAACCTGGCTATACTTAGTAACACTGTAAACAGCGAGCTACATAAAAGATCAAACTGGATGACGACCAACAAACATACTGTCAGTATAGACAAAACCTACTTCATGCTTTTTGGAAACAGAGCATTAAATATCCAGTTGAATATATCGATAAATGGTTCACCCATTTCAAGACACACTGACGGCAAATTTCTAGGTCTCCACCTCGACTGGAATTTTAAATTTCAGACCCACATCCAGCATATAACTAAGAAAGCTTCCAAAACAGTAGGTATCCTTTCCAAGATACAATACAGGTCTCCCTCAACATTCGCGAGGGTTAGGGGATCAAGAGCCTCGCGAATGTTGAAAAATTGCGTATGTTTAGTGCCCCAATATATTGTAGGGAAATTTAATATAATACTGCTTCCTTAACTTGTTGAACCAAGAACAATCATAAAATACATGAAAACTTCGTAAATTGTACTAAATACATACATGTTATGCTTTAATAACATGTATGTTATTAAATACCACTGCCTCCAAAACTGCCCCTACCAGTGCCTCCACTACTTCCTCAACCACTGCGAGTCCCTACTACCCTCCCTCTGACCCCGCAACTGGTAGTGAGTGTTTTGTTTGCTTATTATTTGTTATTAAACTACAGTATAAATAATGTAAACCCATCCATGACTGCATATTGGAATGGCTATTCGGACAGGTATTGGACGGTGACATCATGTGTTTACTCTTGAACACAGCAAAGAATCAAACATTTCTTCTACTGCTAATAATAACAGTAGTAATAATAATAATAATAATAATAATAATAATAATAATAACAAAAAATATGATAGAATTGAAGAAGAAAATTGTGTAAAAATACAAGGGAGTGGTTGACACATCGTCAGTGTGGCTTTGTTTATGCTGGAGTGAGCATTAGTCTCCCTGCTCTTCCAAACATTTCACAATAATTCATTGTGTTTGGTACTTGTAGATTGAGTGTGACTGGAGTGGTAGAAGCAGTGGTCGAGGAAGTGGTTGAGGCAGTGGTGAGGCAGTGGGTGAGGCAGTGGGTGAGGCAGCAGTTGAGGCAGTGGGTGAGGCAGCGGTTGAGGCAGTGGTATTTAATAACATATATGTTATAAATAATAATAGTACATGTTATTATTAATAACATGTATTATTATTATTATTATTATTAATAACATCTATGTTATTAAATACCACTGCCTCAACTGCTGCCTCACTCACTGCCTCAACTGCTGCTTTGCCCACTGCCTCACCCACTGCCTCAATTGCTGCCTCAACTGCTGCCTCTACCAGTGCCTCAATAGCTGCCTCAATGCTGCCTCAACTGCTGCCTCTACCATTTGCCTCAACTGCTGCCTCAACCACTGCCTCAACTGCTTCCTCAACCACTGCCTCTACCACTCCATTCACACTCAATCTACAAGCACCAAACACAGCGAATTATTGTGAAATGTTTGGAAGAGCACGGAGACTAATGCTCACTCCAGCATAAACAAAGCCACACTGACAATGTGTCAACCACTCCCTCGTATTTTTGTACAATTTCCTTCTTCAATTCTATCATATTTATATTATTATTATTATTATTATTATTATTATTATTATTATATTATTATTATTATTATTATTAGCAGTAGCAGAAATGTTTGATTCTTTGCTGTGTTCAAGAGTAAACACATGATGTCACCATCCAATACCTGCCTGAATAGCCATTCTAATATGCAGTCATGAATGGGTTTACATTATTTATACTGTAGTTTAATAGCAAATAATGAACAAACAAAACACTCACCACACTGAGTGGTGGGAGGGCTGGCTGCCAGTTGTGGGAGTCAGAGGGAGGGTAGTAGGGATTCGCAAGTGGCGGGAAACTTAAATATGATTTGGCGGCTGAGAATTTGGCGGTTGGGAATTTGCGAATGTGTGAAGCCTGCAAATGTTGAGGGAGACCTGTACTATGTACTCCAACAGGAGCTCCTTACTTTATTTTTTTTTTCAACAAACCGGCCGTATCCCACCAAGGCAGGGTGGCCCAAAAAGAAAAACGAAAGTTTCTCTTTTTAAATTTAATAATTTATACAAGAGAAGGGGTTACTAGCCCCTTGCTCCTGGCATTTTAGTTGCCTCATACGACACGCATAGCTTACAGAGGAAGAATTCTGTTCCACTTCCCCATGGAGTCCTTACTTTATGTCACTCTCAAATATACCCTCTCCTCACATATGGTGTTTGTGTTTGGGGATCTACCATGGCCAATCACCTTAAACCTTTAATAATCCAACAAAAGCAACCGTGTAGATGATCACGTTCTCCTGCGCCAGACAACACACCCTACCACTCTTCAAAAGCTTGAACTTGAACAAAATATGCAAACATATTATTGTGCCTACTATGTATATAGAACATTCAACTCCAATATCAACCCTCCACTTAAACTGCTCCTAGACCGCTTCAACAAAAAACACAGGCATAACACGAAGCACAAAACACTTTTTGACATCCCTTGTGTCTGTCTCACACTATACAAAAATGCAATTCACATAAAGAACCTGAAGATCTAGAACTCTGTGCCTGAAACAGCAAGAGGTCCCCTGCCCACAAATCAATTTAGAACTGTACTCAAAAATCATCTTATCTCAATAACAACAATACCCACACTATGCTAAACTAACAAAATTTAAAGCAACTCTCCCAGATACATTTTATTATCCCTTAACCCTTAAACTGTCCAAACGTAGATCTACATTTGCGTGCGTAGCGCTCCGAACGTAGATCTACTTTTTATTTACATAAGAAACAATGTAAAATCGAATGCAGATCTATGTTCGGAGCGCTACGCGTACGAACGTAGATCTACGTTTGGACAGTTTAAGGGTTAACTATTAAGCCTTAACTTGAAAACGTGTGTTTGTATCATTAATTGTACCACCTCATATTAATAATAGAGTAAAATATTGAATATATGTAGATTTGTAGTCTACCACTCTTCACCTGTCTGGACTTAATTAAGTAGTTTTTAAACATTAAGTTAAGTCTGCCTGAAATGCCCTGGCATGATAGTGGCTTTCTTTGTACCAGTCAAATTATGAAATGTAAACACATTGTAAACTTAGCAAAGAAATCAATTTTTTTATTTTTTTATTTTGATTTGATTTTAGGTAGGGTGGCCCATAATTTTTAAGCATACAAAGCATACAAACAGAGGTACAAAAAATGCAGGTAAGAGCAGCATGCCAAAGCCACTTATATGCATAGCATTACGGGCTGGCTTAAAATTAACTTAAGATTAACTAAGCAGTGATGAAATCAGTGATAAAACATTATTGTAAACAGATAACTATAAAGCACAAATGAGTATTACAAAGACAGGTCATATGGTTGCATGCATTGCTGTACATTCAGTCGAATGGAGTATTCTGTTAGGTAGTGTATTTAAAAAAATAATAAAGTTAGATTGGGTCCTAGGTTTAACATTTGTGTGATATAATTGTGAGTAACATATAGGATATACAATTTATAAGGTTCAGTTATTCAGTATTTGGTTTTGAGTGAGTAAGTGATCTTTGAGAAGAGACTTGAATTTATAAACAGGTAGCGTTTCTTTTATATTTACAGGTAATGAATTCCAGATTTTAGGGCCTTTTATGTGCATTGAGTTTTTGCATAGCGTTCAGTTACTTCCTTGCCATGCACGTGTGAACTCATCCTCCCTGTTTGACCTAATTGCTGCCCTACATATCCTGCCCTCCTTTAATCATTAATGTTAAAAGGCTAGGCAGCTTAAAAAACAAACTAGACAGATTTATGAGTGAAAGGTTGGATTTCAGTATGACCTGCCTAACATGAGCATGCAGGTCTTCTACAATGCTCCCTTAGTCTTATGTTTATCAAGTGTTACTTTTCATTACTTCCACCCTCCCTCCTCCAGTTTTGGCTAGTATAGAACTGTTGTACTACAAATTACAATATCCGCATTCTTAGCATCCAATTATCTTATGCATTAGTGAACCAAGTCCGCTAGTTCAGAAGACAGCCAGATTATCATGAAAAATTAAGTTCAAATTTGGGAGGTGAGGACAATTGGCAATATCATATATACCCTTCCCCTCATTAGTTCATTAATGAAAGGGTTCACTGTACTGTACTACATCAAAATCATACTTATTATATATACTAGCATTTATCCTGAAATAAGTTTGCTATCAACCATGTGTGACACCCTGTTGATGAAACCTGCAGTTATTATATAGTAAACTTTTCCAGAAATATCCCTTGTAACAATAAAAGTATAACAGTGTTCAACCAAAATATCAGAATCTTAACAACAGCTTTAACTAGAATTTCTGAATAACAACTTCTCATATGTGATTTTAAAAGAAACATGACTAAATCATGAAATAATGCACCATGTGTATTTAATATACCTGGATATGCAGCCAGCTATAATTGCAGACCTAATATGACAAAAAAAGTTATTGCAATCTCATATATAGTACTTATGAAATCCAATGTAAATAATGCCATAAGCCTAAATCAAATATGTGTTTTTATTTTTTTTTAAAGCGGTATAAAAATAATGTATTTACATGAAATAAAACATTGTTAGGCACAAAAGAAAGCCACTAGTGTGCAGTGCACTTCATGCTTTCTCAGTTGTCTATTGTTACAAATCCTCAGAGCAAGCATACATTCTTGATTATATTTCATAAATATTTTAATTTTAATATTGCCTCTTTAGGTATTACCTGAAAGAGTTCGTGAGATTCTAGAAGAAGCGAGAAAAAGAATTCTTGCCCTTGAAGCAGAGAGAGATGAGCTTCAGGAGCATCTTATTGAGAAACAACAGGTAAGTTATACGGTACAGCCTCTCCTCACTTAACGATGGGGTTCTATTCCTAAAGTAGATTGGTAAGCAAAATGGTTGTTAAGCGAGGAGCATAATGTACTGGTAGTGGATTTGTGTCAACCACCTTTAGATATTTTTTAATGTCACCTTTGCACCATTTATAAAAATTTTACAGTAGTGTACTGTATACTGTAGCAAACAGAATAGAGGAAATCAGCTCTAATATACGTACATCACTTAGGTTTGCATACTGGTTGGAGAGCTGGTCATAAGTCCAAGCAGTTGGTAAACAAGTAGTCCTAATGAGGGGAGGCTGTGTTGTGTAAAGTTTGCCATGTAAGGCAACAATAATATAATGTTTTGAAATATGAAAACCTACTTTTTCTGCAATGTTACATAAACCGCTTCTGGAAAGCCAACCTCTTGTTACACTAATGATTGGGTTCCATGATTATTTTTGCTCTGTTAGTTTTTTGTCTTTCCTTTTGCTCATACATTTTTGCCTTCTTTCTATGCCACTAGCTGCAAAGGCTCTAAACACCAGTTGGTATAGCCTGAATAGGAACAACTAACACGAGATGGAGCTTTTGAATTAATGGCACTATGGAATGAATGATGGCAAATGTGTTACTTCTTTCTTGCATCACCCTACTTTGGAGGAAGATCCAGATATGTTATAAAATGTTTGGGAAGATAATGGTGACCAGACACCAAATGTTTTTGCATTGTTAATGGCCAGATCTGTTTTTGCCTTTGAATTGTAGTTATACAAGGTGCTGTCAAAAAAGTTTCCAGACTTGAATTTTCATGTGCTTCTTAGGTGAAATATGGTGGCAACATAAATCACACTGCACAGTACATTCCTTTATAAATAATACAGTGGACCCCCGCATAACGTTGGCATCGCATAGTGTTAAATCCGCATAGCAATACATTTTATTGCTAAAATTTTCCCTTGCATAGTGTTAAAAAATTCGCTCAATGCAATTCATCCGAGACACGTCCATGCAGCCTGAGCCAGCCTCACTTGTTCTGCCAGTGGCATTGTTTACAAGCCAGCCTCTACAGTAACATTCAAGCATACAATTGGAACATTTCGTATTATTACAGCCTTTTTATAGTGATTTCACCTGAAAAATAAGTGACCATGGGCCCCAAGAAAGCTTCTAGTGCCAACCCTACAGGAATAAGGGTGAGAATTACTATGGAGATGAAGAAAGAGATCATTGCTAAGTATGAAAGTGGAGTGCGTGTCTCCGAGCTGGCCAGGTTGTATAGTAAACCCCAATCAACCATCGCTTCTATTGTGTCCAAGAGAACGCAATCAAGGAAGCGTTCTTGCCAAAGGTTTAACTGTGCTTTCGAAACAGAGATCGCAAGTGATTGAAGATTTTGGGAGAGACTGTTATTGGTGTGGATAAATAAAAAAAACAGATAGCAGGCGATAGCATCTCTCAAGCGATCATAAGTGAAAAGGCTAGGAAGTTGCACGAGGATTTAATTAGAAAAATCCCTGCAACTAGTGGTGATGTGAGTGAATTTAAGGCCAGAAAAGGTTGGTTTGAGAGATTAAGAGGCGTAGTGGCATACATAGTGTGATAATCATGGTGAGGCTGCCAGTTCGACCAAAAAGCAGCTGAAAAATATTGTGCAGAATTAAAGGGAAGTACATAGACAGTGAAGGACTGAAACCTGAACAAGTGTTTAATTGTGACAAAACAGGCCTGTTTTGGAAGAAAATGCCAAGCAGGACCAAACATTACTGAGGGGGAAAAAAGGCACTCCCATGACAAAAAGCCTATAAAAGACAGGCTTACTCTTCTCATGTGTGCCAATGCTAGTGGTGATTGCAAAGTGAAGCCTTTATTAGTGTATCACTCTGAAACCCCCAGGGGTTGTTCAGGCAAAAGAATATCCTCAAGGCTAATTTGTGTGTGCTGTGGAGGGCAAACAATAAGGCATGGGTCACTAGGACTTTTTCTATGACTGGTTACACCAAGCATTTGCCCCCACTGTGAAAAATTACCTAACTGAAAAAGAAATTAGACCTTAAGTGCCTCCTGGATTAGACAATGCCTGGTCATCCTTCAGACTTGGCAGAGCGACTTTATGGGGACATGAGTTTCATTAAGGTGAAGTTTTTGCCTCCAAATTACCACTCCTCTCCTGTACCCCATGGCCCAGCAGGTTATTGCAAACTTCAAAAAACTGTAACAAAATTCTGTTTGAAAGGTGCTTTGTAGTGACTCAGAAACTAAATTGACTCTAAGAGAGTTTTGGAGAGAGCACTTTAATATCCTCAATTGTGAACCTTATAGTAAGGCTTGGGAGGGGGTGACTTTAAAAGGACCCTTGAACTCTGCTTGGAAGAAACTGTGGCCACAGTGTGTAGGGCCCAAAAGGGGTTTTGAAGGATTTGAGGCTAACCCTGAGAAGCATAAAGCCAGTTGAGGAATCCATTTGTGGCATTGGGGAAGTCCTTGGGTTGGAGGTTAGTGGGGGAGATGTGGAAGAGTTGGTGGAGGAGGACAATGAAGAACTAACCACTGATGAGCTGCTAGATTAACTTCAACAGCAAGAGGCCACACCTGAGGAAATTGCTTCAGAGAGGGGAGAGAGAAATTGAAGAAGTTGCCTACTTCAAAGATTAAGGAAATCTGTGCAAAGTGGCTTGAAGTGCAAACCTTCATGGATGAAAATCACCCTCAGACAGCTATTGCAAGCCGTGCTGGGGGACTATTACACTGACAATGTTGTGGGAAACACCTTAGGAAAGTCATAAAGGAACGAGAGGTACAGGCCACTATGGACAGATATGTTGTGTGACAGAAGTCCAGTGACTCTGAAGCTGGTGCTAGTGGCATTAAAAGAAGAAGGGAAGCAACCTCGGAAAAGGACTTGACACCTCAAGTCCTAATGGAAGGGGATTCCCCTTCTAAACACTAAAACCATCCAGTCTCCCCTCCTCCCATCCAATCAGTCATCACCACATCTTATTTATTTATTTATTTATTTATTTATTTAGTAATTTGAGCATTCTTACAGAGGTACAAAAAAATACAGGTAAGAGCAGCATGCCCAAGCCACTTATATGCATAGCATTACGGGCTGGCTTAAAATTAACTTAAGATTAACTAAGCAATGATGAAATCAGTGATAAGACATTATTGTAAACAGATAACTATAAAGCACAAATGAGTATTACAAAGACAGGTCATATGGTTGCATGCATTGCTGTACATTCAGTCGAATGGAGTATTCTGTTAGATTGGGTTTTAGGTTTAACATTTATGTGATATAATTGTGAGAAACATTTAAGATATACAATTTATAAGGTTCAGTTATTCAGTATTTATTTGGTTTTGGGTGAGTAAGTGATCTTTGAGAAGAGACTTGAATTTATGAACAGGTAGTGTTTCTTTTATATTTACAGGTAATGAATTCCAGATTTTAGGGCCTTTTATGTGCATTGAGTTTTTGCATAGCGTGAGATGGACACGAGGGAAAAATCAAAGAGTGATCTGTGCCTTGTGTTATGGTCATGTGTTCTGTTGAGGTTGGCAAGGAAATGTTTAAGGGGAGGGTTAATATCAGAGTTAAGTGTTCTATGTATGTAATTTTTTTTTATTTATTATCACACTGGCCGATTCCCACCAAGGCAGGGTGGCCCGAAAAAGAAAAACTTTCACCATCATTCACTCCATCACTGTCTTGCCAGAGGGTGCTTTACACTACAGTTTTTAAACTGCAACATTAACACCCCTCCTTCAGAGTGCAGGCACTGTACTTCCCATCTCCAGGACTCAAGTCCGGCCTGCCGGTTTCCCTGAACCCCTTCATAAATGTTACTTTGCTCACACTCCGACAGCACGTCAAGTATTAAAAAGCATTCGTCTCCATTCACTCCTATCAAACACGCTCACACACGCCTGCTGGAAGTCCAAGCCCCTCGCACACAAACCTCCTTTACCCCCTCCCTCCAACCTTTCCTAGGCCGAACCCCTACCCCGCCTTCCTTCTACTACAGACTGAAACACTCCTGAAGTCATTCTGTTTCGCTCCATTCTCTCTACATGTCCGAACCACCTCAACAACCCTTCCTCAGCCCTCTGGACAACAGTTTTGGTAATCCCGCACCTCCTCCTAACTTCCAAACTACGAATTCTCTGCATTATATTCACACCACACATTGCCCTCAGACATGACATCTCCACTGCCTCCAGCCTTCTCCCTGCTGCAACATTCATCACCCATGCTTCACACCCATATAAGAGTGTTGGTAAAACTATACTCTCATACATTCCCCTCTGTGCAATAATAAGTATGGATGTTTTGTATGGTGAGTACGTTGAATGTTTTGAATATTGGTGGAGTGTGCTGCCTGTAGTGAGAATTTGTTATCATTCTAACTGCAGCCTTTTGTTGGGTAATTAGTGGTCTGAGATGGTTAATTCTTGTTGAGCTCCATGCACAAATTCCATAGGTGAGATAAGGGTAAATAAGAGAGTGATATAGGACCAGGAGGGCTGACTGTGGAGCATAGTACCGTATCTTCGATAGTATGCCTACAGCCTTGGAAATTTTCTTAAAAGTTTGTTGTATATGTGTATGAAATTTGAGTCTATTATCAAGGTGGATTCCTAAGAATTTTCCCTCTGTTAGCTTTGTGATAGGGGGATCCTTTATCATTAGTTAAGGGGGACATCTGTAGCTCTGTTACAAACTGAATGAAGTAGGTTTTGTCAATGTTTAGTGAAGTTTGTTAGTCCTTCATCCAGGTAGATATTTTCTGTAATTGGGTATTTACAGTATTGGCTAGCATGACTGGGCTCGGGTGAGAGAAGACGAAATGTAGTGTCATCTGCAAATAGTGGGGGTTTTTGAGTAATTGCAAAGCATTTGGTAGGTCATTTATGTATAGGAGAAAGAGAAGAGAGCCAAGGACACTTCCCTGTGGGACACCAACTGTAATGGTTGTGCGGAAGAGCTTGCCCCATTTG